TTGTTATTTTTGTACTTACAACGTTTGATGTATCTTCGTGACGAGAATCGATCCTGAATTACAATTTTCAACGATAGAAGTATATTTACAAGAATAGAAAGAAAGTAGAAAATTTTCGTAAAAACTGTTTATTTTTATCTTTATCGAGATTATTGTTGTCCAAATAATTAACGTTAGTGCTTATATATTTATTTTACAGACGTAGAGTTGCAAATGCAAGTTATACAACTTTCTTTTTCATTAAAGAAATGGAAAGAATTAACAAATTTCGTAAATATTTGGACGCAAGAAAAATACTCTTATTTGTTGTATACATAGAAAGTGTTTCGTAGTGACGCATAATTTTTCACTTTTTTTTTCATAACAAACTATTTTTGAAATTTTTATTATTGCCATTTATTTGCACGCTCAATTTTTGTTCAAAACTGTTTGTACACTTGAAATTTTTGTTTAAAATTTTTTTTTTATTAAACACCCGCAAATGGATGAAAAATCATGCGTCACATGAAACACTAGTATTGGTAATTTGGTAATTTCTTGAGAAATTATTGAAAATTAATTATTTTCGTGGAGGACCAAATTTTTTTCTTGGATCGTCATTCACATCTTCTTTTCTTCTCTGATAACGTTTTCAGTCATTTATAATCTTCTTCGTAGTATTTTCTTCAAACATCACATTCATCATATCGATAATCTTTGCTCGACTTTTCCCAAGTCTCGAGAGAAACTGTCATATAAATAATCTTTCATAATCTACTTTTCTCAAGTTTTACATAAAAAATTTCATAGCCTCCGACGATGGACCTAATTAAAGGGTTATTATGTATTTATAACCGACTTGTCATACGATTTTGGAACTTTGAACAACGTGAAAATAAAACTAATGAACGAACACTAATTTCATTCAGATTTATAATGCAAGAAAAAAGAAGTTGTATGAACTTTTTATCCACATCTTGTGTATCATAATATAACTTCCAATACACGTAGATGTCTGTTTCTTTGTTTTTTTTTTTTTTTTTTTTTTTTACAGGGAATAATAGAAATTGAGAAGTACCAATCCTTAAGTGTCAAAATTAGCGGAGCGTGCGGCAAACTCCCTGACCCGATCGGAACTATCATGTTCGAATGTTTGGTACGAGAAAAGCAAACTCGATCAGTGGTTATAGTGAACGACTCTAATCTTCGTTGGAAGCTGAATGTTGAAGTAACCGGAGATTATTTCTCCGTTGACGAAACGTTGCTGATTCCTTCGCAACAGTCTGCTCCTTGCGTTGTCACGTATTTGCCTCTCGTTATGAACTCTGAAAGCACTCCGCACATGGTAAAAGATCAACTGATAAATCAACTAAATTTGATATCAAGCGATAGCTTATAATTGTCAATCAATTTTTAAGTTGAGCCGGCAGTCAGTTGCTGAGATATTTTTTGGAACCTTGATGTAACATCTGTAAATTAAAATTATCATGAATGACATTTAGGATCTGTTTCTTTTCGAGTTTCAAATGTGAAATTTTCATTTTCCTATTCAAAAATAATTCCAATAAATAATCATTTAAAGGTTCATTAAAAAAGAGTTTTGTTTTTACCATAATTGATTTCTTTTTCCTCATATCTGTCCTTTTATGTTGCTGCAAATATGATATTAAATATTCACAACAGAATAATCTGTATAATATTAGTGTGACGTTATACAGAATAGTATTATTTTAATGATGTAGCACTGATCTCATTTTTTTTAATTATATAAAATTAGATTTTAATTACATAAATTAGATTTTACGATGAAATATAGATAAAAATGCATTCATTTGATGAAAATGATTTGTCAAGTAGGTAAAAGCGTTTCAAGGAATTCAAAATCAACTTAATTTTCTTTTAAATGGAACTCTATTTTTTTTATACATCAATCAGCCCCTTTATTCTTTATAAGAAAGTATTAATCTACTCATATTGAGAAACTGTCAGTTTAAGATAAAATTTTATACAATTAAAGTTAAAACATCTGCTAAACTAATAACTTTTGGACATAAATAAATATGGCATATAAATATATAACAAATAACAAATATAATTAAGAGATAGAAAGAAAGCAATCTTAATCTCCTGATAAGCTATCATTTGGTACCAAATTTAGTTTCAAATTCGAAGGAGCAAACTCTATTTCTTTCTTCTTTTTATTCCCACAGGGAACGCTGGTGTTAAAATCCGTGGAGGAAAACCTGTACATGTTATATTCACTTTGTGGCAGAAGCCTACCACCGCTAGTTACATCGAAAATTAGCCGTCGATTGCCCGCGAAAACAAAGTATACCGAACTTATGTCTGTTCACAATTGGTTAAACATCCAACAACGATTCCAATGCAAGATCGAATTGATAACGAACGATAACTCGCAATCACAGGTTTTCATTTCGAAACATTGACATTGTCCAAAGTTTTACTTCAAAGCTTCTCGAGAGTGAACTTCTTATCTTTTTCATTCTTTGCGGACAGATTCCACTGTACAGTTTCGTAGGTAACGAAAGAATTGATGTTCCAGCAAACAGCCAGCGAGATTACCGAGCGGTGTTCTATTGTTACGAGAAGTGGAATTTTAATTTCAAAGTAACCATTTTGCATTGTGATTTCCTTCATAGCTACTTTATTAGGCATCAGTTATTCGTTACTTATAATCCTGGGTTAAATATGCATTGGCAAAAATTTAAAGAGTTATAACTTCGTGGAAGAAATGGTAAAATAATTCGCTTGGCCTCATTTTAAAACGCGAAGCTTTTACTTTGAGTTCGTTCTTCTCAGAGATATTTTTATGTCACGCAGTGGATATATTGTTGAAAATTATAAAAATTCAAACGTCTCTAAAGTGACTGAGAAACTGTTTTCAGGACTAGATCTAGCATAACTTTGAAGACTTTTTCTTACAAAACGAACCCTTGAAACTTGTACATACGTAATATACAGTTTTCGAATACATATATATTTATATTTACTGGAACAATATTCATCGAAGCTTTTAATTATATACTTCCTTAATACAGGTAATGTTCACCAACGACGAGAAAGAATATCAATTCTACGAGATAGAGTACGATGTAACAGAGCCGGAAGTGATTGAATCGATCCCACTGGTAACCCTAGCCCGATCTCAGGTTTGTCACACTTTGAAACTGGAGAATCCCCTTGAACGTGAAACGATCAAATTTACAGCGGAGTGTCTTCATCCATTTATCACTGTAATCCAAATGCCAAAGTTCGTGCAACCATTATCACACGTGAGTAATCCTCGTTAACCTATCGTCCCTTCATCCTATTCTTTTTCCTTTAAATAGCTACTTGAGATTGAAATATTGAAAAATTTCAGGAGTATATTTCTATAATATATCATCCAGCGTTGTCATACGTCACTGACATTGCCATGCTAAATATCGACGGTCAAAAGTTGGGTCGATTCCCGTACGAATTGCGATTGAAAGCCAATCCTGCTCCTCCAGAGAAGGCCACGCGTGTTAACGCCAGTTTAGGAAGCAATCGCGCGTTCTCGCTTCACGTGAAAAACTTTATCCAAGAAAATACCGAATTTCTGATACACGTGCGTGACATGAAGTTTATTAAGTTGCTGCGTAAATTTGCAATGATTTCTACACATTCCCTACTGAATTTAAATATTTAAATAATCATTTAGATGTTAATCTTTTTATTATTTCACGGATTATTTTCGCGAGTAGTTTCAAGATTAAATTTCCAGTGAATTGTTGCTCTTTTATTATTAAAATTAATTATGGTAAAAAATAGATCGAAACAGTCAATCTTTTATTCTCCTTCGATATATTTTTTAATGCAAGTTATTGGTCATAATAATAATAAATAAAATTAAAACAAAAATCCTTAATTATTGTAGTTATTTGAAAATCTGCACCGCTAAATTTCTACAACTATGCGAATTTTCTTTTTATTTTTTTTTATTGTCAGATTATTTACATATTTATGCATCATGCCTCATAGGTTCCCTAATATTAGATCAAATGGCCAAAATGGTTAATTTATAATTTTTTTCAGAAATTTCATATGACGTAAAACAATGTACTTTTAGAGATCTAAATGATTTTCCGCAAAATGTATAAATAGAAGCTTGTGTACGCCATTGTATTATAAAGTTTTCTACTTTTTTACTTGAATATTTCTGAATGGAAATTCTATGCTTTAATCGTTGGTAGTTTTAGTGTTATTAATCAGACATTCAGAGATTTTTCGTTCAGATACAATTACATAATTTTCAGGTATAAAGAATTGCAATAAGTACCCATTTTCAAAGGAAAATCTAAAGATTTTGACTGTTATAAATCGAGTTTGTCGTTGTACTTTGATAAATAGAATTTATGCAGCAATCTGTTAAAGCAATCTATATTGAAGAATATGACCCTAAATATAAGTTCACGTGTTATTTTCTTTGTTACTTTTTAGGTAGATAGTGAGTGTTTCGCATGTCCGAAATTCATTCATGTGAATAAATTAGGAGAGGGTGTAATCGACGTAATTTATGAGCCGCACGACGTTGAGAATGTCACTGCCACGTTGATAGCATCTTCGGACACTGCTGGAGAATTTGTGTAAGAATACAATTCAAATTTTCAGGGAAGTCAAATTCATAATAGTTAGACCGAGGATATTTCGTATTTTTATGAATTCCAGTAATGAAACAGAGTCTAGGATAAAAATTCGTTTCATCTAGGCTAAAAATTATGAGTGTTCTATATCAGGCATTTTCTGTAATTTTGTATATGCATTCCTGGACCTCTAAGTTTCGTATAAAATTTCACATAAAATTTGTATTTCGGTAAGTTCAGTACAGTTCCTTTGTTTTTAAGCTTTCCTTTGATCGGTTCTTGCTCTTTACCTAAACCTATGGGTCCTTACATGGTCACTCGAAGCTTCTCAGCTTCAATACCTTTTAAAAATGTCTTCAGGGAGGCAAAGGTTTTTGATTTTATCGTCGACGTTCCTGACATTTTCACAGTGAACACAGCGTCAATTACTTTAGAATCTAAACAGGTGATTTTAAATTAAAATTTATAAATTGTACACCATATTAATCTAACTTTGAATCAAATTACAAAATATAATCTCAATATTAATGATTTAAAATGGACAATTATTAGATTAAACTAATAAATTGAAATTAATTTCTAGATTGTATTTTGTGATTTAAATGCAGATTATAATTAAAATTTATATTATATATGAAATTATGGTAAGATAATAAAATAAAAGATATATATGTAATGTAATATAAATCATAATTATAACATATGATCTAAGTTTAAATTACATTAAATTATATAATCTAAAAATTAATTACATACATCAATTATATTACTAGTTATAATTATAATAATTAAGTCTAAATCTACCTATCATTTATCTGCCTTTATTAATAAAATACAATACATTTTATCAGAGTATCAACATTAAAGTGGATATTCAAGATGAACAAGAAGGAGAAAACTCTGAAGAAGAGAAATATCCTATTACTGGAAAACTAACGGTGTACTGTACTGATCATGCTTTTTCTCATGTAAATTGGGTGTATTATTTGAAAGGAGTTTTCGAATGAAATATAAATAAGTATTTATAATTGAGCTGCGTTTAAATTGTATCTACAGATTTAATAAAAATTTTAATTTTTGAATCAAGAATACTTGTATTAATTAAGGGATAGAATAATTATTATTAGTTCTAGTATTAGTCCTAGTTAGTCGATGATATTAGTTAATAATTTTAACTATCTTAACTATCTTGAATAATTTAATTGTTTTACATTTTCAAATATTATTTCATAATTTCAATAATTCGTTTATGACATTTAAATTATTTTTTACACTTCTAAAGATTATTCAACAATTATTGAACTTGTTTGTGAACAATTAAACAAGTTTAATTTCTTCTAGTTCTTTAATTCATCGTTACTTAAGCAACGTAGAGTGCGTTAAACTAGTGATTTTTTTGAGACACGAAATCCATTTCATTTTAGGTCTATTCTATCTTTAGTCAATGATTCTGTCTTTAATTGATAATATTTTACGACGCCTTGTAACGTGCCAAACACTTTCACGCATAGTGAACCGGGTGACAGTTCCGTAGGAGTTGTGATTTCAAGAATTGAAGGAGTTACTGCAATAAGGAAACAGCTCCATTTTCGAGTAATTTTGGTAAACCAACAAAAGAAAAGAAACAATATAAATTAAATACTTATGAATTTATGGTTCTGTTATGAATCTGCAAAATCACCATATTTACTATTCGGAATTCATTTTTTTTTCATATCATAAAAAATGGAATAATGAAAGATTACATTTTTCACAATAAAATATGTGAAAAATGTGTAAAAAGTGGAGCTGCCTCCTTCTTTAACTATTTCATTATCTATAATGAAATATTATTAATAAGTGAAACAGTTGATTATTTAAGTCCTATTTCTTTCTGTATATATATATAACTGTGATAATTAAGTATGATAATTACCTTTTACGATTCATTGAAATAAAATTTCCCCTCAATATTCTCTGATCGACTTCATTGTAGAGTTCAGATTATTACACATCCCTTTTCACTTCTCCTTTTCAATGCCTTCTATTGCTCTCCTTTGTCCACCGACGACGAATGTTCACAGAAAGAAAAGAACACGTACGCAAAATCACTATCTCGTTCGATCTCCGTGTAAGAATAACGCGTGCGTGATCGTCACGTAAGCGTGGCATTGGGTTTTTCTCGGCTGCCGTCGAATTTCGACGCGTGTTTAGCACGACTCGCTCGATCATCGAGTGAGTCACCAAGGCGAAACGAGTGAATGAAATGTTTCGCGCGAGCTGGTTTCGTAAGAACGCGAGCTCCATGAGTGAACGATGTGCTCGTTTCGCACGTTTGATTGTAATGCTTGATCCAGCGAACTTAAATTGCACGGCAATGAATCTCTCCCCCCTGCTGGGATTCTCATATCACGTGTAATCATAATCGATTGACTCGAACGGAGCTGTTCATTTGTACAAACGGAGGATTATTTGTTACATTTTTTTTAAATTTATTTTAAACATTTCTTTCTCTATTTTAAATCAATTCTGTTTACGTTAAGACTCCATCTTGTCTTCTCATCGTTATTTATAATTTCTTTTCTATTAATTTTATTTATATTTATTTACAACTAAATAGATACAACTAGTTTAGAAAATTATAATAATTTGAAATGAAATTTATTACTGAAATTCCCGAAATTTTAGTAATTTAACATAAACCCAATATAAATTTAATATCGATTAATCACACTATTCGTGTGTTAATGTAAAAAAAAAAAAAAAAAAAAAAAATAGAAATTATCGAATAATGTTACGATTTGGGCATTATTCAAGTAAAATATCTAAAATATACAATGTATTATTTTATTTTAACGTATTAGTTTATTTCAACATGAAAATAATCCTCCTCTAGGTTATTTGATTGTCAAATAATTCTTCAAGTACTTTCTAATGCTTTTGCATTGAACATCAACTACATCATAAATGCAAATTTCAAATAATCTTACTAGTAGACTATTTGTTTCTTTTATTTGAATAATCGAATTAATTCAAATAAGAAACTATATGAAAGTATCACATCAAATAAAATTACTTTCTCTATTGTTGTGTCTAATACTGTTATGTAATATTATTAATATTAATATCGACACTGTGATATTTGAAAAAAATTCGTTATTTCAAATTGCCATTTTTTTCATTTCATTCCAAATAAAATATGCTTAAGCCCGATTTATACCTAACGGTATCACCTTACAAAAATAGTATCGACTGATTCACAGACGTTTCATAGACAACGTCTATAAAAGGCAAAGGATGAAGTTAATTACAAAATAGCATATAATTAAATGTTTACTGCTAGTAATTATGTTAAATGGGTCGTAAACATGGATAAGATCGAAATATTTTTTACATATTTGTCCAGTGTGATTCAGAGAATGGGATTTCCAGCTCGAATCTAATTGGAAGTCCCCTCATGAGATTCTGGAATTCTAACTAGTGGTTCAAGGCGTATGATCGGAACGATGTTCGTGGGGAATTGTTTATTAAATCACGCTGCTTCCGGTACGTGTCTGTCTCGGGTCGTCATTAACGTGACGTAGGTGGAAACCTCGGAATGTCCAATGGAAAGTCTGGAAACGATCGTTCTGGATCCAATGAAAATGTCTCGAGAAATCAATCTTTTAACATGCCACGTATATTTTTCAAAGCAACGTAACTTGCTAATCGCAATTTTTTTCTGCACAGTTGTTGACTATGGCGTCATAAATGCGCAATTCAAACGCAATACTCTTCGACTTATCATTGTGTTTGATTTTTAGCTCGATGTCGGTGTTGATATAACGGGATCGCTCAAGATTATGCTTTCGCTTAAAAGGCTTTT